GGGCCCACCTTCGGTCCCGCGCCGAGCCCGCACAGCCCGAGAGCCTGGCAGCGCCGCCCTGCGGGGCCCCGTGTTCACTCTCTGCATTCCCACCCGTCGCGCCCGGAGGATGCCCGGCGCCGTCCAGGGCTGGCGCTGGGGACCCCGCGCCGCCGGCCTCGGGACTCTGCTCGGGCCTCCGGCTCCCTTCTCTGTCAAGCGTGGGACGCAGGTCAGAGCCCTCCGGGGGCCCCTCAGGCGCGGTCGGGGGCAGGATGGGCGGCAGCAGGGCCGGCTCGCTCCGCACTGTGACCACCACGTACTCAGACTCCTCCACCTGCCCCCTCTCCAAGGCTGTGGTGATGCTGCACCCGTTCAGCACCTGGTCGGCCTCGCCGGGGGGCCCGCCCCAAGTCAGCTGGTTCTCTTGCAGCTCGGAGCAGCGCAGGAAGTAGGTCAGGACGTACAGGATGCGCTGGACCAAGTCCTTCTGCTTCCCCACCACCACCGTGCGCGTCAGCCTCACTGGAGAGCCGATGGCTCCGTACAGATCGCCTGGAGGGCAGAGCAAACCGACACAAGGACAGTCATCTGGGTGAGCGAGTCAAGGGCACATCAGCCTGAAACCTGGAATCGCTGCTTCACTCCCCTGACTGAGGCAAAGAGGCAATTCTGAGTGCTGACAGTATTTCAGTTTTCCTCTAGGATGGAAAGTCTGCCTGGGAAGGCCTGCCGGGTGCAGCCCCGCTTTTGTTGCTCAGGTGCACTGCTGGTGTATACTGGGTGCAGTGCACAGCGGGTGCAGTGCTGGTGTGTATCAGGTGCAGTGCAGAGCCGGTACACAGTGAGTGCAGTGCCGGTGTATACTGGGTGCAGTGCAGGGCTGGTGCACAGAGGGTGCAGTGCATGGTGGGTGCAGTGCACAGCAGGTGCAGTGCTGGCGTAATTCTGGTGCAGTGCACAGTCCCTAGCAATGCTTGCTGGGTCTTTCCATGCAGCTTAGTAAGCTGCCCGGCTCCCATCTCCCCAAGGAAGGCTAAACCAGAGCCCTGAATGTGTGACCAAATCAAAATAATTTATCTTGGGACTAGAATGAGATCTCTTTAGAAGACTCCCAGGACAGTAGGCCTCGGCGTGAAATCCCAATGCCGGGATCTCTGAAGAGAAGTGCAGTGGATGTTCAAAATGCTTAATGAAACGGTCTGCTCACTGCACACGCACACCAAGTAGAAGAAACTCACTTAGTCGTAAATAATGAATCTGAGTTTTTTTCCTATTACTTCACAGGAAAATTCTACTGGAAAACAATGTCCCACAAGTTATACCCCGACACACTCATCAAAAACTGGCTAATGAACGACGGACACTCAGCTTAAAGGTGGAAGAAGAAAGGCAAACGTGTGGAGCAACCCAGCAGCGGGGCTTCTCCTCACAAGTGCCTGTCACCTGCCTGCCTATCAAAATGAGTGCCTTTGATCCTTAATCGGAATGTTACACTTGACAGCTGCACCTTTGATGCTCTGCTATTATTATTATTGACAATTACAACCAAAAGCTAACGCTTACTGACTGCACAGGAGCACTGCTGAGTGTTTCATGTTTTACACGGATTTATCTTGTTTACATCTCTGCATAAGCATCCCTGAGTCAGAAACCATGTGGGATTAATCAGGATATTGCAATAGATCAAAAAATCAAAGGATTCTAAATAAAGGAGCAGAGATACATGGTAATAGTTATAAATAAGAACTCAGGGAGTTGGACTCCGTCCGAGAGAGGAGGGGAGGCATTTATGCAGCATATACTGGATAAAACTAATGGCCAAGTTGCAAACCAAGAGAAAGGGAGAGGATCCCCCTAGAAGTGCCTCCTCTGGAAAAGATTCCCTGGGGTAGGGCTCTAGAGAACAGGTAAAAGGTGGGACGGAAGTGATATGAAACCATCCTCTCTATAAAAGGACCAAGTCACAGCTAATAGAACTTCATCTCTGAGGCTTTTGCAACTGACTGAAAAATCACCCAAGAATTCAAAAGAGTAACTCAGAATTGTCATCTGATGCGAGGACAGGCACTTCCGTTCAGGAAAACTTGCTTGACTAAGGATTTATTGCTGTTACTTCCTGTGATCACATCTGCCCATCATTGTGGGGACTCACGGCCACCTCAGGACTTCCTGGGGCGCCATTGTTAAATCAGTCCCAGTGTTAATAAAGAAGTATTACATATCCCAAATCTAGCAAAAAACAAAAACAAAAAACCAAACCACCTCACTGTGGAAAGGCAACTCAATGAGAAGAAAGGAAGGGGTAAAAAGAGTGTGTGCAGGTGAAACAGAGAGAGTCCAAAACCGGGAGTGCATGGAAGCAAGAAGAGGCAGGACAGATGGACAGGGACAGGGGGACACAGGTGTGGAGGAGGGGTGGCACGGGGCGGGGAGGGTGAAGAGAAGACAGAAATAACAGAGAGGGGAGGAGATGGAGGAGCAAAAAGAGGGTGAGGTGGGCAGTGAGGGTGAAACACACCTCGGATAAGATCACAGGGAGCAGGAGGGAAAAGAGAAGAAACAAACTAGAGACAAGAGAACAAGACAGCGGAGGAAGGGAGAAGCGCTCAGGACACAAATCGAGAGGGTACAGGGGTTGGCGGGAATGGGGGGCTGAGAAAACAGGAGACAAGGAGAGGAGCTCGGTCCTAATCGGCCACTGATCACAGATGTGTCTATTTCACTGTTCCATCTAATAGACGCGTCAGGGTGACCAAGCCCCCTTTGGACCATGCTTTGCTAGTCCTGCACGCTGTCATTCACTGTCTCTTTGTTATCCCTTAGTTCAAACTGTTTTCTTATTTCTCTCATTTGGCTTGTGGGTTATTTAAATATGGCTGTTGATTTTCTGAGCAGGTGAGAATTGTCTCCTGGTCATTTAAAAAAATTGATCTGCAGTCTAATTCCAACTGCATTCTGGAAAATACAACTTAAACTTTGGGAGGAAAAAAAAAATGAAGACAAAATCTGAGACTGTTTAACTTGCATTAACTTAAGCCAATAATCCCAAACCCTTTTTGAGGAGAAAAGCTGCTTTTCACCTGTGATCCCCTAAGGTTGGACATGTAGTCCCCACCTCACAACCTCACAACTCAGGGCACAGGGAAAGGCATCTTCATTACCTACCGTCTGGTGAGGACACACTAGCAGGTCTAAAATGAGAATCTAATGAATTAACACATGCAAAAGGCCCCTGGAGCCATGCATGGCTCCCAGGGATGGCTTGCATTACTACTGTAACACACTGTTTCCTGGCATTCAAGTGCTTGTCTGCAATTCTGTTTCTGGAGAATGCCACTTTACCATTTCCTCAAGCATGTCTTCCTTGAAAGCCCCCTCCCCACCCCACCCCCATCTCTCGGAGCCCCCTCATAACATCCTCAGCACAGCATCCATGACCAAGGTGCTCCCAGCGTTAACTGGTTTACCTCCCTGGTGACCATGAACTAGCATTTTACAGGTGAAGAGGCGCTTGCCCATGAAGGCTGGATTTGGGTCCAGGCAGTCTGGCCCTGGTGCCCACGTCCTGCCCGCTACACTGCATTCTCATGTCCATCGCACACCCCTAGCGAAGGAGCAACCAGGATGTTCTGAATACCACCTGCGCCTCCTCCATCAGGCTGCAGGCTTCCCGAGGCTGAGATGCACGTGACCCAGCTCTGCACCCCTGGGTCCAGTGGAGGGATAGGGTCTGGAACAGAGCAGCCGTGCAGGCCTGCCTTGCTCACTGCAGACGTGTGCCAGGTGAGGCCCCGGAGCACACCTCTCCTGCATGCGAGCTCTGGTCTCCCAAGTCTGCGCTCTGACCAGCCACGCTGGGGCGTCAGGTCCCTGCAACCCACCTGAGCTCAAAGCCTAGAGGACATAAAAACCAACAGCACTGAGCAGAGCAGTGTGGAAAAGACGGGGTTTCTGACTTCAGCTCGGATTTAAAAGGGGGTGAAATCACAGTGTGTGTGTTACTTTCTTTTCTCTCACTTTTCTCCTATGCAGTCCATCCTCTAGGGCAGCGGTTCTCAGCCAGGGGGTGTTCTGCACCCCGCACGGGGGGTGGGGGGGACACTCAGTGGTGTCTGGAGGCATTTAGGAGGGGTTTTCCTGGGCCGCTGGTGAGCACAGGCCAGTGATGCAGCTGTTCAGTCTCCAGGCACAGGACAAGCCCCTCCACCACCCACCCACCCAAGAATGATCTGGTCCACGTATCCAGAGTGCCGAAGTTAAGAAACCCCGCTTTAAAGAGCAGAAGGACGCTGCCGGCAGGGGGAGGGGAGGAAGGGGATGTTTTAACAGGTAGGCTCCCAGGGCCAGTTCCCTGCCTGCCCAAGGACAACCTTGGATGGCCGGGCTGCATGGCTGACATCAGCTAAACTCTCCAGCATTTCCCCAACCCATCCCATACGGGCTCTGAAGAGTCACGTCGGTACTGACCCAGCTGCGCCCAGAGAGGGTTATACGGGTGTGTCTTGGCCAGCGTGTTCACCAGCTGAGAGGTGCGCTTCTCTGAGAAAGCCCTGATGGGGGGGTGGTCCACTGGCATGACGGTCGGGACCCAGGCCAGGTGGTAGGTTAACACGGCGGTCAGCAAGGCAGCGAAGAACCTGGGCGGAACAGGAAAGGGGGCAGCGGGAGAGTCAGGGCCGCGAAGGCGCGGCGCGGCATCAGGTTCAGCACGGGCACCGGCCACTGCACGCGCAACCCGGGCTCCGGGGAGCCGACGCTTACTGGTTCTTGTTGATCTGCTCTATCAGGAGGGTGAACTCCTTGAGGAAGCGCTGGCAGAGCTGCGTTTTCTCCAAAGTGCTGGACATCATGGTGAGCCACACCGGTTCCGCGATCCTCGGGACAGAATACAAGTTCCAGATGGTCCCTCTGCAGAGGAGAGAAGGGTGACCCAGAACTGTCACAGACATTACTTTGGAGAATCTTTATGCAAAGGAATAAAGAAGAAAACAGTAATCTGGATTTATGTAGCCCCAAGGGATCCAAAGCAGTATATAAAACAGGGGTCAGTAAACTAGGATGCACAGGCCAGATCCGACTTGACTGCCAGCTTTCTGTAAATAAAGTTTTATTGGAACACAGCCATGTGCAACCATTTCCACAGTATCTATTGTTGCTTTTGCACAATGGCAAAGTTAAGCAGCAGTGACAGAGACCCTCTACAGAGAGAGTATAGTAACTCTTCATATAAAATGCTCATTCTTAAAAAATTTTGTTTCCACAACGCTTTGTGTCAGAACAAAGGAAGAAACACAAAAGATCTTGAGAAGCCAAAACAATTTTGAAAAAGACGAAAGGAGCTGGGGGAATTACACTCCCTGACTTTTCAGGCTATACTCTGAATCTACAGTAATCGAAACAGCATGGCACTGGCACAAAAAAAGACACATAGATCAATGGAACAGGACAGAAAGTCCAGAAATAAACCCACGCACTTCTGGTCAATTAAGCTACGACAAAGGAGGCAAGAATATACAACAGAGAAAAGACAGTCTCTTCAATAAGCAGTGCTGGGAAAACTGGACAGCTACCTGTAAAAGACTGAAATTAGAACATTCTCTAACACCAGATACAAAAATAAACTCAGAATGGATTAAAGACCTAAATGTTAGACCAGATACTCTAAAACTCCTACAGGAAAACATAGGCAGAAAACTCTTTGACCTAAATCACAGCAATATTTTTTTTGGATCCATCTCCTAAAAGCAAAAGAAATAAAAACAAAAATAAACAAATGGGACCTAATAAAACTCAAAATCTTTTTGCACAGCAAAGGAAACCATCGATGAAATGAAAAGACAACCTAATGAATGGGAGAAAATATTTGCAATGATATGACCAATAAGTGGTTAATATCCAAATTATATAAACAGCTCATGCAGCTCAATTAAAAAAAAAAGAGACACAATCCAATTAAAAAATGGGAAGAGCGCCT